TTTTGACTTCAAATTTGATATTCCAGTCCTAAATATTATTCTAGGAATATTCATACACTTATTATAATTTTCCGGGATACTTCACCGGTACGTACTTATACCGTGAAGCAGAACCGATATCTGCACTTTCGTCAGAAAAGCGACTTTCAGCATTATTAATCACTTACTATAAATATTTAAGTCTTTTAATAATTATTCAAGGTAAATTATGGAATTCTTTCCTAAACTCATAATTAATTATTTAAATTTCTAATTTAATGGTGCAGGTTCTTACAATAAACAACATCAATGAGCAGAACCTATGTCTCCACAGGTTGCTTCTAGGGTCCCTCATAAACAACTTTGAGGTTATGGCTGATCATTGTGAAGGTCTTCCCCGTCTGCGTATCACGCAACTTTGGGGGGTTTCTTTTCTGTGTGCATTTCTTCTTCTCTTGATCCTTTCTTCCAACCTTACAAATAGTTTTTTTCATACTAAAAACAGAGGAAGGACTTCTTGGTACCCATTTCATCTAGGGTCTATGAGGCTTAGGATCAAAACCATTATCAGAATGGAGAGTCTTGCCTAACTTCAAAATTAACATTAATAGGCAAGTTAGAATCCACAGGTAATGCACATTCACTAATCAATTCATAATCAAACTTATCAGCCACATTATGAGTCACATTTATGCATGAAACTGAATGCTCAACCCCAACCTTAGAATGCTTCGTGGAATAAAATATACTAAAATGTACAATGTTATCACCAAATTACATGGAAAGAGTCCTAGCATACACATCTATTTTGGTCCTTGCAGTTTTTGAAAAGGACCTCTCAAGTATGATTGGGGGCTTACTACTAGGAGATTCACCCTCCATATCTAAAATGTAAAGTTAGTATGGAATATCAGGTTATTCACTCTGACTAAAACATTTTCAATTAAACCAGAAGGGTGAGCATTCCTCTTATTGGCTAACTGGATAACAACACCAGTAGCACGCAAAGGACCAAGACCAAGGGACTTATATTATGTATTTTTATGCTACTAATATATTTCTCAATAAAGTTCTTGTCATCATAAAAAAAGGGGAGATTGTTGAGCCCTAGGTTTCAAAGAATAAGCAACTGAAGTTTTGATGATAACAAACCACCTACAAGCTCAACATTATTGGACAACTCGGAAAACAGTGCAAAGAGTCCCATATAATGTTAGAAGACCAAGACAGTTTGCAAAAGTTAAGGGAGTACTCAAATTGGCAAAGTAAACTCCAAAGTCAAAGGTTCCAAGTTATACAACACACTACAAGGCTCAAAGCTTGAAGACAAGTGAAGACGAAGACTCTGATAGGCTTACACTGTTTGTAATATTAGTTTGAGTCTTATGAACTTAGAGAATGAGTTTATTAAGCGTTATCTCTTAAGGATTGCATTCATAAGTCACAAACTCATCTATAAGAAACCTACATGCATGGATTACGTATACAATGACACACACACACATGGAACATTGTTAGATTAATGCTAGAAACATTCATTCATGTGTGATACGTAAGTAGAACTCGTTTGGATTGATATTACATTATATAGGGTTGCTGTGCAGAAATATCTGGATATGGAGTTTCTGATATTCAGATAATGATATCCTGATATGTGCCCAACAAATATTCAGATTTGGATATCGAAATATATGCCTGATGAATATCTGGATATGTGACAGTTGATGCATTAAAATTCAAAATTAATAGTCTAACGGCTATGTAACTCATAAGACTCCTATATAAACATGTAATAAGGGTTTCTAATCAAAGATTAATAGAGAAAAATATGAGAACACTCAAAAATCAAGATAAAACCCTCATTTAGGCTATTTTTGCGTATCTTTGGGAAAAAGCTCAATAATTCTCTTCTCTCCATTTTTTCTTTTGATTTTCTTTGTAATTGTGAACGTAGAGAGGTGACTCTACATCGATTAGAAGTTTATTTACTGTTGCAATTCGATTTGGTGATTTAAAGTGATATTAGAGGTGTATAGGTTGAGATTGATCAAAGGTTTGATCAAGATTCTTGTAAAACTTCATTATAAATCAGTTTCTGGGGCACCGATAAAACTCCATTGTACATCAATTTTTGAGGCATCGGTTGGAAGTTCTGAGTTTAGTGGATGATCTTCTTCTAATTAGATGTAGCCATCTAGTGGTTAGAGGGTGAACCAAGATAAATTTTGGAGTTTGATTCTTTTTTCCCTTACCCATTTTAATTTTCGCTGCTATATCTCTATTTATGATGTTGTTTACTTTGTTTTGAATCTACTTTTTGGTTGGGAAGTGTTCAATTTATGTTCTACCACATTTTGGTTTGTTTTCCTGAAAAAGGGTTTGGGATTTTAAGTTTCTTACAATAGAAGTTAACCACAATTCACCCACACTCTTATGGAGTTGTGTAGCCATTCTTTCCATGAAGGTCCCATCAATGATCAATAATATGACCTGACTTGTTACAATGAGTGCAATGAGGATGACCCTTTGAAGGTTTGGGGCCAAGACTAGCACCCTTGGAGACAAGTGCAGAGAAATTAGCTAAAGGGGGAACAAAAACCTTTGAGACAAGTGTAGAAAAATTTGCTGGCAACAGAGCAAGAACTGCAGGTTCAACATGATGCTTAGGTAGGGTCTGAAGCAATGTAGACCAAACAAAGTTTATAGTCAAGAATATGGAAGAGACTAGAATCTGATAACGGTTAATAGAATACTCCTCATGCAAGCCATATAAAACCATCAACATAAAAAAAGGTGTTTCGTTGTTCAAGTTTCTTAGTATGATCCTCAGTAGGAGGAGGAGGGCACAAAAGCTCATTGAAATCATGGACCAAGCTATGAACCTTCCCTAAGTAGGTTTTTGCAAACACTACAGAGATATTGAGTATCATTAATATACAATTCCATAGTGAAGAATTAAAGTGATGATGTGGCTGCCACGTACTCAAAAGATAACACACTTGATGATTCCACGTCATCATAGTTTTGATGATAACAAACAAACGTGAAGTAGAATTCTCAAAGACGAAGCAACATCCAAAAGATATCAAGCAAATGTGAAAACATGAAAATCAAGCATCAAGACAAGTCCAAGAATCTCAATGGTATATTCTTTTAGGACTTAGGAAAATATGTAAAGGTGTATAGATTCTAGCATTGCATGGGCTCAAGTCATCCATATCATAAAGTGCTTAAAGAACCTTGATCTAACAAGTCAAACATGCATTAAAAGACTTTTTGAAATGACTTAAGCACATAAGCATCATGACAAAATATGATCACAAATATTCATAGCCTTAAATCACTCATTCGTTTTAAAAAGAAAGCATCCTTAAAGAAATATCAAGTCAAATGGTTTTATATGTCCTATATTGGTTTGGAAAAGGTAACTACATGATATGAACATTTCTGAATAGTTTCCATAACCAATTATATGCATCATAAGTCACAGAAACCATTTTGAAAGAAAGAAAAACTCAGAATTCGTACAAAAAGGGTGCTGCCATGAAATATCCGAATATTTCACTGTGAATATCCGAATATCAATATCCTGATATCAATATCCAGATATGTGCCCGACAAATATCCGGATATGTACGGTTCACAACGGCTAGAAACAGCTAGTTTTCAAATGAGGTGTCATTATAAATACCCACATCAACAGTAATGAATAGGGGACGACTATAGATCATTTATTGAACCTTTATTACTCATTCTAGCCCATTATTGCTCATTGATTACTTACTTTACTCATTGCATACACTTGAGCTCATCTTTCCTTTGAAGCTATACATCTATTAGTTCTTTAATTTGTGCAATCTGTACTTTGAGAGTACTTAGCCACTTTTAATCACCTCAATCTTACTTCTTGATTTGAGAGGGGAGTGAACCCTATACTAGAGAGGTCACCAAATTCCTAAGAAAATTTGGAGTGAAAAATTGTGAGGCATCAAGAGCCCGAAGACTTGAAAGGTTGTAGAGGTTTGTCAAGCACCCTTAAGCTTGATAGTTAGTGAAAAGTATTGATCGAGCGGCTTCAGTCTGGACGTAGGTCACAGTGGTGGTGATCGAACCAGGATACATCTAGTTTGCAACTTCTCTAGCCTTTACCTCTTTACTTAAGTATTGAAATTGCATTTTTAGATTGTCTTTATCTATTCGCTTTCTTACTTTGTGAATCTCTACACTTGCTCTCACACTTAGATTTAATCACTTTATTGAAGAAATAGTCTTTAAAATATCAATGGAGAGGCACTTTACGAAAAGATTTTGTAAAACTCAATTCACCCCCTCTTGAGTATTGAAGCCACTTGTCCAACAAGTGGTATCAGAGCTTGAACTCTTGTGTAAAGAGCTTAACCGCTTCAAGAGAAGGGATGGCTTCTTTGAACCATGATATGCCCCTTGAGGGATCTTCTAGTACTAGACCTACATTTTTCAATGGCGTCGATTATTCTTATTGGAAGAGTCGAATGAAAATATTTCTTCAATCTAATGATTTAAGAGTATGGAATGTAGTTGAAAAAGGGTATAAATCACCTACTATAAAAAATGAGAAGGATGAAGATCTTCCTAAAGATATAGATAATTACACCGAAGATGAAATTAAGAAAGGAAATTGGAATGCTAGAGCTCTAAACTTGATCACAAATGCCTTAGGTCGTGATGAATATTTTCGTGTTTCAAATTGTAAGAATGATAAGGAAATGTGGGATATTCTTCAAATAACCCATGAAGGAACTAGTGATGTTAAATTTACAAAATTAAATGCACGCACTAGAGAATTTGAAATGTTTGAGTTTCATGAAAATGAAAGCATTCAAAGTATGCAAAAAAGATTCACGCACCTCGTCACTCATTTAAATGCTTTAGATAATTATTTTACTAACCTTGAGTTAATTGCTAAGGTGATGAGAAGTGTGCACAATAGGGAATGGCAACCCAAGCTGACGGCTATTACGTAATCAAAAGATTTGAAAACCATGGATCTTGCAACCTTGTTCGGCAAGCTCCAAGAGTATGAAATGGAGCTAACTAGAATAACCTTGAAGGAACAAGCCATTAAGAAAAGTAAGGGAATTGCCTTGAAAGCCTCAACACCAAGCAAAGAGAAGGATGAGGAAAAAGAATATGGAAATTCCAAAAATGGTCTTGATGAAGATGAGATGAGTCTCTTCGTAAAGAAGTATGGAAAAATTTTTAAGAAGAATTTTTCAAAGAAATCCGCATTTCCTCTTAGAAGAAGATCTAAAGATGAAGGATCCTCACAACTCACCATCACTTGCTATGAATGTGGAAAAACCGGTCACTACAAATCGGATTGTACAAATATTCAAAAGAAAGACAAATATGAAAAGAAGCAAGGCAAGGATAGAAGGAACTTCAAGAAGGCTTATCTTGCTTGGGATGATGAATCTAGCTCTTCCGATGATGACTCCAAGGAAGAAGCAAACCTATGCTTCATGCAAGATAGGAGACCACCGGAGAAATCAAGCAAAGGAACTCAACATATATTTCTAATGGCAAATGAGGACAAAGATGAATCCGAAACCGAGGTAAACTCATCTTGCTCTACTATTTCCCCTTCATATGATGAGTTTTCTGACATGTTTGAATAAACGCATAATGAAACACTAAAACATGTTAAAACTCTTAGAACATCAAGAAAAACTATTACTTCTTTGGAAAAACAAATTGCATCTCTAGAAAAGGAAGTGAAAGATCTGAAAGATGAAAATCAAACTCTCAAATTACTTGATGCTAGTACAAGTTGTATCAAGTGCCTATCTTCAAATGATCATGCATCTTCATCATCATGTACTTCATGTAAAGATCTAAATAATGAAATTGATGATTTAAATGAAATTCTAAGCAAATTCACATGTGGAAGAGATAACTTAAATGTGTTGCTTGGTAAATAAAGATGCATGTTCAACAAATCCGGCTTAGGCTTTGACATTAGCACACAAGAAAAATCATATAAAAACTTTTCATTTCTGCATCCTACATGACAAGTAGCCCATTCATTAAATGTTTTCATTGTGGTGGAAAAGGTCATAGTGCGTCCACATGTAAAGTTAGAAAAATGGCATTATTGGGCAAAAGAAAGTGTGGGTTCCTAAGGGAACTAGGCCCAAGACTAACACACAAGGACCCAACAAGGTTTGGGTACCAAAGATTAAATCTTGACCTTGTGATGTAGGTGTGCTTGAAGGCTAAAAGCTCCAAGTGGTACTTGGATAGCGGTTGCTTAAGTCACATGACGAGAGATGTAACTAAATTCCAATCATTCACAAAGAAAGAGCATGGACATGTCTCCTATGAAGATAACGTTAAAGGAAAGATACTCGGTATTGGAAAAGTTGGTAATTCCTCCTCTGTCTCTATAGAAAATGTTTTACTTGTTGAGGGCCTTAGACATAACTTGCTTAGTGTTAGTCAATTATGTGATAAAAAATATAGAGTTATTTTTGACTCAACCTCTTGTAAAATTGAAAGTCTAATAGATGGGCAAGTTAAGTTTCTTGGTCATAGAGTGGATAACATTTATATGATAGACTTAGATGGTATGCCTTCAAATGACGATAAATGTTTGATTAGTAAGGAAGATGACTCTTGGTTATGGCATAGAAGAATAAGACACATTGGCATGGGTCAATTAAGCAAATTGATTTCCTTAGACCTAGTGATTGGGTTACCAAAGCTCAAATTTTAAAAAGATAAAGTTTGTGATGCTTGTCAAATGGGAAAACAAGTAAAGGCTTCTTTTAAATAAAAAAATATTGTTTCTACCACAAAGCCTTTACAACTTTTACATATGGATCTTTTTGGACCAACTAGAACCATGAGCTTTGGTGGCAATTACTATGCTTTGGTTATTGTGGATGATTATTCTCGCTATACTTGGACATTATTTCTTACATATAAAAGTGATTCTTTTAAATCATTCAAGAAGCTAGCCAAGCTTATTCAAAATGAACAATCTTCAAATATTCTTTCAATTAGAACCGATCATGGTGGAGAATTTGAAAATCAAGATTTTGAAATCTTTTGTGAAGAAAATGGTATTGAACATAATTTTTTCGCTCCTAGGATTCCACAACAAAATGGAGTTGTAGAAAGGAAAAATCGTGTATTGGAAGAACTTGTTAGAACCATGTTAAATGAAAATGATCTTCCAAAATATTTTTGGGCGGAAGCCGTTGGCACCGCGTGTTATGTTATGAACCGTGCTTTAATTAAACCTATTTTGAAGAAAACTCCATATGAACTTTACAAAAGAAGAAAACCCAATATTTCATATTTTCATGTCTTTGGTTGCAAATGTTTTATTTTAAACAATGGAAAAGAAAACCTTGGCAAATTTGACTCTAAAGCCGATGAAGGCATATTTCTAGGATATTCACTTACAAGTAAAGCTTGTAGAATCTATAATAAAAGAACAATGGTCATTGAAGAGTCCATTCATGTTGTATATTTAATGAGACTAACAATGCCTTGTCTAGAAAGGAACTTTGTGATGATGATGTTATAGAAAGCATGGAAAACCTAAACTTTGATGACAAAGAGGAAGATGAAAGGCAAAAAGAAAAGGAAGCAAACAATGAAG